AAATTATCCAACTAACTGAAACCAAACTTAAAAACTAAACAGAAAAACCTTAAAACTAAATAATTTTACAAACTACGCATAAAATAAAAACTATAACTTTCCACCAGATGACCCCAGGGGAGATAAAGTTCTCTGTCCATGTGGAGACTGTCCTGAACAGAGTCCCTCAGCCCGAGTACCGACAGCTGCTGGTGGAGGCCATCTTGGTCCTCACCATGTTGGCTGACGTGGACATCCAGAGCATCGGCTCTATAATCCACGTGGAGAAGATCGTCCACCTGGCCAACGACATGTTCGACAAGGACCAGGTCAGCAGTCGCTCTAAACTTCCAGCGTCCGTATCCCTGTCATCAGCTAAAGCAGGTTGTTCTTCTTCCATTGTTCTGCAGAGGGACCTTGGTGCAGAGGAGCACATCCTGGAGAGGGATCCGTCCACAGGAATATGCAGGCTGCTGTATGACAGCGCCCCCAGCGGACGCTTCGGGAGCATGACCTACCTCACAAAGGCTGTGGCGGTGTACGTGCAGGACTTCCTGCCCAGCGGCTCGTGTGCCGTACAGTGAGAAGACGAGATGGTGCAACAGTTAGTTGTTATTTTTTTTGGTTTTTTTGTTTGTTTTTTTACTACATAAACTAACGTAACAGCCTCGCTTCGTGTTGTCACCACATGTGTGTTAATGCAGGTGATAGATCAAGTTTTACGTGAATATTCGTCGTCTTCAACCATTGCTCGTACCGAAGCAACAGAATGCTGCACAAACTGTAGCAGCCACGTTAGCTAGCCTCGTCTGTTCCTCTTTTCAGGGTGCTGACTTCCTGTGTTTCTTTTATTCTCAGTAATCACCAGCAGTTCCCTACTTTAAGTCTGGCAGTGCGTTCAAATGCCTCGTGTTACTCACCTGAAAAAAGCTGTGATGGAAATCCACAGATATTCACTTCTAATGGCACACGTTAGGAGGAGGAAGCGTAAATGTGAAATTTGAAATCAGCAATTTTGATTAACCCCTTGCCAGAGCTGAAGTATTTTAACTAGTATAAATTCACATCATCCACTAGTTCAAAATTTCTTGTTTCATAAGCTTAAAATTTGTGCACCGTACTTAAACTTTCAGTGTTAATGCAAAATAAACATTGGCCAGATATTTAAATACATTTCCTAAAATATCATAGTTATAGTTATTAGCAAATGTTACTAAAACTGTGGTAAATAATGCATCTTTTTGTTGGGAACGATTTTCAGCTGCGGATTAATGCACATTTGGTTTTCCAGAGGTAGCTCTAGTAAGCTACCCATACCTTCTGATGCACACCCAGTCATTTTGTTCTGAAGGAAATATGACAGAAACTAAGTTTAGACAAGAGAAACGAGGGTCATCCGTAGTAGTTCTCAAAGGGGGGATGAGTTAAAGCAGTTAATTTCCATCCCCTGCTCATTTTTTCATCTATTTATGGGGAAAATGAGCCAAATATACTAATTCACTCTGTGGAAATGAATGTAAATGTATCCCAGCTATAATCAACATGGCCAGAAAATACAGTTTTCCCTTTTTTTTTTCTTGCGCTCATCACTACCTTAAACATTTTCACCTCCAACCACTGTTACCTGCGTAACTTAAACATGAAGTTCGTAAATTTCAAATTAATCTTCTAACGTTTCCTAATTTATTACCTCACCTGGTCGCTCAACCTCTAAGACTCACCCGTCTTCGTATACCTCCAGTCCTGTGTGCTTGTACGGTGTATTACAAATGGAAAGCAAACAAAAAAGTAGTATTTATTTTTTTAGGTCTAAACCGTTAATTGAAGTCAGCTCCTGTAGGTAGGTGTCTTAAAGAGGCCATGATGCCTTAACATGGTTGTATTTTGAGTCTAGAAGTTTGTGTGACTGAAACTTCAGGAGTGCTGTTTTATTTAAAGCTATAAATGAACTGAATTAATTTCTCAGAACGTTTTCTTCAGCGTGTAGTGTATTAATGCGTTTCTTTGCCTTAATCTTCTCATCTGATTGCTGAAACTGTAATTTTGTTTCTGTTTTTAGATTAATTGCAGTTAAACTTGAACACATTTTGTCTGTTGGCTCTTCGATGGTTCATTGTTTACGATATTGACGGCAAATTTGGAATAAATTATTAAGGTTATTGAAGAACATGCCTGATCGTGCCTCCTGTTTAAATGTCCAGTAATCAGCTGACGTCAGTCATTTTGTGGCGTTCCAGCACACTCCACGTGAACTACAGCCGATCGTATCAGAACGAGTATCGATGAGCAAGCCGGTGGTTGACTGTTTTTTTGTTTTTGAAACTAATTCTGTAATAAAATAATCAAAATCAGTTATGAGTGTTTTTAATCAGTCATGTTACTGAGTAGGTCTTTTTAAACTTTTCAAAGTGCTCTCTCCATCTTACAGTTGCCTGAACTTTCAGGCCTGTTACATGTGCTTTGTTGGTTTAACTTCATATATATGAATATGCTGCTCAAACCAAAAAATAAAGGAACAGGGAAGCAGTAAGGAAGTCTTGAAATTGAAAGGATGCCAAGAAGTTTAGTGGCAATTAAATAACCAAACTGTGAGGGCTGAATTCAAAGACACCTCAAAAAATCAAAGTGTATAAATAACGAGGCAGGCTTAGTCCATTCTTATTAAATGTAATTAGGGGTACTCAGTAGCTTGTATGGTCAACATGCCTATTTGCACCCCTGACAATGTCAGGGAATGCTCCTGAGATGACAGCTGGTATCATGGAGGATTCTCCCAGATCTGGACCAGGACATCACCGAGCTCCTGGACAGTCTGAGGTGCAACCTGGCACCGTCGGATGGACTAAAACGTAATGTACTGAGTGGCAGATCGAACTCCACATTGACCGGCAGTGAGGTCAGGGCCCGCAAGAGGACACAGAGCCCTCAGGCCACCCTCATGAACTCGTGTTTCTGACCAAACAATCAAAATCATTCACACGCGTGTCCTGCTGGAGGTCATTTTGTAGCTCTGGCAGTACTTACCCTGTTCCTCCTTGCACAATGGAGCAGATACCGGTCCTGCTGATGGGTTAAGTACTTTCTTTGTCATTGTCCAGCTCTCCTAGAGTACTTGTCTGTCTCCTGGAATCTCCTCCATGCTCCTCAGAGTTTGCTTGGAGACACTGGCAAAGGCATGTTGGACTATCTGTGCACCCACTGTAGGGTCCATATATCGCCTCATGCTACCAGTAGTGACACTGACCCTAGCCAAATGCAGAACTGCTTGTGGTGGTGTGGAATATTTATGGCTCCTTAGCATCTTTTCAACACCATAGCCCAAGTATTGCTGCTGACCATGTCCATGACCACCTCCTGATAGATGCTTCCAGCAGGATAACACAGTGTCACAAAACTCAGATAATCTCAAACTAGTTTCAAGTTCTGTACTCAAATGGCCTCCACAGTCACCGGGCACATTTGGGATGTGGTGAGACCAAAGATTCACATCGTGGATGTCCAGCCAGCATCTGTGCGATACTGTCCTTTCAATATGGACCAAAATCTCTGAGGAGTTTCAGTACCTTAATGAATCGGTGTCACCAAGAATTAAAGCAAAAAGGGGCATCCAACCAAAAACTAATAAGGTATACCAAAAAAGGTATCAGGTGAGTGAATGTAGTGAATTAGAAACCACAGACATAACCATAACATCACTGATGTAAGTTCTTCAAATTCTGCTGAAAGGTTTAGTTAATTTGAGAAGAGTTATAAATGGTTTAAGCACAGGATCTTGGGGTTTTTTTTACCTGAAATAAAATGGCCTCAAAAGAGAAAATATTCAATCAGATAAATTAAGTATGTTAAGTGCTGCTGAACTTTTAAAAAAACAAAACAAAAACAGTTCAAAGTGTGGCTGGTTACATGTATGTGGAAAGCAAACGTACAAGGATAAACAGGGACTGCATTTGGCAGGCCTGAACATGCAGACCAATGATTACTTGTCCAATGCCAGGCATGAATCTGTCTCTGTGGTTAAGCAAATTATGGTCAGTGAAAGTTTCTATTTCACGTAAACCACTTTTCTTTTCTCCATCTTAGTCATCTGTTCAGCTTGCTCACTGAATTATGTGATTAATTAAACACAGCGAAACCAGATGTGATTTGAAAAAACTTGATGCCAATACTTAGTGATAAATTCTCTTGTTCTTCATTGTTTGCCAAAAACATGAATACATTTCAGCTGTAAGTGTTACACTCATGTGCCAGCAATCTGTTTGATGGAGTCTGTTTCTAAAACAACTCAGATGTCGTATTCTGGCAGTATCAACAAACATACCCAGTTATAGGATTTAATCACACAAATTTACCCCAGTGAGCACAATTTTATGGCTCATACTGCACTCTATATGGCCAACACTCCAACACAATGAACATCAGTCATGGACAAAGATGGACAAAGTCAACGCTGGGTTTCCACTCTCCACACTTTTTTTGTAAGCGTCTTGGTTGCTGACCCTGAGTAGACCTCTGCCTGGTTGATTTATTCACTTATTTCACGACGTTCTCAAAGCATGAAGTCCATTTTGTAAATTTTGGTTGTTTTTAAGAGTCTAATAGGAGGATTATCGAGGATAAAAACTTGTGACTGACAAATTGCTTTTCTTCAATTTCAGACTTCCCAACCCAGTGGATGATGTCACGATACCTACATCCATCTTTTATACAGTCCTGTGACAAAAGCTGAATATGCCGCTTTATTCAGTAGCTTGTAGAACCACTTTTTGGCATTGCCATCGTTTTCTGCATGACTTCTTCAGTCTCTCACCTTTGGAGAAGTTTTGTCTCACTCTTCTTTACAGCATTGCTTCTGCACATTGAGGTGTGTGGACATTTGTTAATGCACAGGTTGGTGTCTGGACTTTGCACCACTGTCTTTTCTTTTTCAGCCATCCTGTTGTAGATTTGCTTGGGATGTTGTCAGACAGATGGCCTCACATTTGACTCTAGAATACTTTGGTATCATGGTTCTTATATGGTGCTTTTCTACTCTGAGCAGTCAAGTCGGTTTACACAGATTTCACCCATTTATATTCCAATGGATGAATCGGAGAGTAACTTGGGGTTAGTATCTTGCCCAAGGATATTTGGCTTGCAGACGGGAGCAGACAAGGATCAAACCACCAACCTTCCGATTAGTAGGCAACCTGTTCCACCACCTGGGCTACAGCCATCATCATTCAAATGACATTGTTTCAGAAGTCTTCTGATTTGTTCAGATGCGGTTTTGTAAACTTGAACCTTGCTGCCTTGTTTAGAGAGAAGAGGCTTTCTCCTCGCAACCCTTCTACACAAATCATACTTATTCAATCTTTTTCTAACAATACTGTCATGAACTTTAACTTTTAACTAACTGAAGCCTGTAGAGTCCGAGATGTTGCACAGTTTGTGAAATTGCATCATGGTGTTAAAACACACTTGAATGTTCCAGGCGAGGAAACTTCCAGAAGTTCTGATTTTTATAGCAGTGCTCAGACTTTCTGACAAATGCTTAATCAAGTGTATTATCACCACTTAGTTGCTCCTTCCCTTCTTAACTCCTATCGAAACAGTAAAGGTCAAACAAAATGTCTGAAAAGGTAAGGTAATCCTTGTTAAAGGACTTGGATCCAGTACCTGTACTTGCACTTTTTACAAAGACAAATAAGAGTTTGGATTACCATCTATTCTGTTATCTTGTCAGTGAATTCAGCAGGAATGTGCAGACAAACATGCAAACAGACATTTCTGATGACTCTGCAGATTTTCTTAAGATGTGGAAAACTCCTTCAGGAGGCGTCATTCCTCTTAAATGAACACGACTTATCTCCTGCACCCACTCACACGCTTGGCTGGCTTCTCTCGTTGTGAAAGACTGAATATCTGTGCACCAGCAGCTGTTTGACTTTTGAACGCTGGCAGCAGATTCATTTGTTTACCTTGGATTCAAATGTCAGCTTTGTCCACATTATGTCCCAGGTGAAAGGTATATGAGAAGACACGAAGCAACGGCGTACAAAAGTCCACGTTTGAGTCACTGATTCTTTTGTCCGATGCTTTTATTTCACTTCATCTCCGGCCCTTCAGATGCAAGTAAAACAGTACAGTAAGCAATACACAGTACAAAGATAATTTGGGTTTAAAAGTGCAACCTGAGTGTACAAAATATCAGCAAGCACCTGCTGTGTGCATGAAGTAAACTGCAGGTGAGTTGAAGCTAAAGCTGCAACCTCCTCTTAAATTTCAGGATTTCATAGATGTGCAAATAAAAAACAAGGCTGTGCAGCTCATAGTGAGGAATCTATTCCCAGTATTTGTACACTCAGCCCATCAGGTAGCTCGACTTTGAGACTTTGCAGATTTAAAATTGTTTGAGCATGTAGATGTCATAACGTTCCTGCTTTAAATCCTTTTTTTTAAAAACAACAAAACAAAAAACCCAAACGGTTATGGGACAAAAAAAAGTGAAATATCCTAAACTGAGTTTAAAATAGTAAATGAAAATGGGCACATTTTGACATTTAAAAAAAAGATAAAATAAATAAAATACCAGAATCAGCATTACAGATACTGTTAGTTAATCCAACTGTGTTTGAACCTTTTGTCAAGAACCTGAGTGTACTTTAAATAACTTTTATCTTAAATCCATAACAACATTGCTCCACCTCTTCTCAGTTTTTATACCATCACCTTTTATGTCATTTCCGCAACTTCATTCATATTCATGTTCATTCATATTTTTAAGATTTCTAAAACTTTGCTTTATGTAAAATGCCCAACAGTAAGAAGTGATCAAAGGTCAGCTCCATGTCATTTGTTCTCTATTGGTTTATCCTTCATTTACATTTTACCTTTTAATTTAACCTTGGACTAAACTAGGCTGGTCCAATTATTAAGGGGACAGAAATTATGACTGCGAGTATTAAAAAAAAAAGTAAGGGTGAGGAGTTTGTAGAAGGCACAGCTAGTTGTTACATTTACTTCTGATAAAGTCGTATCATTAAAAATCTGAGTTTATCACACCCTAGAAAACATGACCAATTACATCTCAGTCATAAAAATGTGGAGACTACGCATCTGCTCAGTTACAGAATTACAAATGTCCTTTAAAAATGTTTCACTGTTTTATGATATTTCTGAAGGAACGGGTTTTAAATGAAACGCTGTTATCGAGCGCCGTTATATCAGCTGTGGGATAAGTTCAAAGCCAGGGTAACTAGTAGGACACAGAGATAATAACAAAAAAAAAAGCTCAATAGTTGCAGAAATACAACTTTCTGTGTGGTTAAACTGTCATCAAATGCTTAAGGTTTGAAAGGCCTGACAATTCCCAATTAGAAATGCATCAGGTGGGGCAGTAGCTGCCTGACAGGTGCATTTAAAAAATTGTTTAGATATAATTTTACTGGAAAATAAATACAAATTCTGATTTAAAATGAAGAAGTAAAAGAAGAAGAAGAAGCCTGGGTAAGCTGATCTCCCAGTTATCAGAACCCGTCAGGATGAACATGCTGGTTGTGTCCTCGGACGGCTAATAGTTCACCGGCTGCGATGCCGAATGGTTCATCGTGGAGCAGTGTCCTGCCCTAAAACAAAACACAAGCAGATGTTAACAAAGTATCAAAGCTTATTTCTGCCAAAATTTCCAATCAGGTGTATTTAAGTGTTCGTGTTATTAAAAATAACATTTTGAAATTTTGAGGGAAAAAATACAAATATATTGAGTGGCAGATACAAGCTGCCATAGAAAAGAGCTGTTTCATTTTGCAGGATTTACCAGCCCAGTGGATTTTCTGAACTTAACAAAAATCTCCACATTTCCTTTTTTCTTTCTACATTAACAATTCTGCCAGCACAGTTACCTGCAGAGGCCTGTGGAGCATTCATAGTTGTTTTGGCAGTATGCTCCGAAGGGTTTACTGTTCATGATCCGCCACAGTGGGGTCATCCGGGCTATCCTCCTCGGAGCGTGGACGACATCTGACCCCCTTAGATCTGCACTCTGGAGGAAGCTGGACTGATCCTGTGAAACCAAAGGACCTGCACACACCTGGAATACAGATGGGACAGAAAGGTATGCACATCTTCGTTAAAAGGAACCACACTGATGACTGATGCTGATGTAGTCCAGTGTATTCTGACTCAAAGCACTGGGAAGATATAAGCTTCATCAACTATTTAGTGACTCAGTGACTTCATATGAACACTGAAGACATTGGTGTTGGTGACCGTGGGGAGGAAAAACTCTTTTTTTTTTCTGACAGGAAGTCAAATAAGGCAGAAGCAAGAGAAAGAGAGGATCAAACACAACCAGCAGGAGAGAAAACCCTTTCAGTTACACTTTAGTTCTTAACTATGGACACTCCACAGAGGAAAATATGAGTTTATGCCTGATGTGAAAAGTGGGAAAATTCAAAGCAGGCTTTCACAAAAAGGGTTTAGATCCAAAACTAATGGAAGTGAAAGATGCTGCTGGTAGACTTATAAGAGATGAATACATTAGAGGGTTATTAATGTAACCATAGTCTAACAAACTTATCACTCTATCCTTTAAAGAAAGGCAAATTGGACTTTAAGCTGATTTGTTTTTCCTCACTTGGAAAAACAATTGAATAGAAACAAAAGTTACATGTTCTAATTGCCCAGGATTACAATTATAGTCATAATCAGGTTATGGGTGTTTCCTGATGACAGGGCAGAATGAACAGGGTAAATTTAACACCACATCTGTGGTTATTACTAAATTTACTCCACTCACCTGTTGAGCCACCATTAACAGGACAATGCACAGTGCTGCTGCTGCTTTCTTTTGGGTGAAGAAGCCTGTCTTCTGCATCTTTCCAGTGGACCGGGGTGTTTGCTGGTAAGTCTACGGAGATTCTTTGCTTTTATCGTCCTTTCTTTCTCTTTGGCTACGTTGCTCAGCCTCAACCTGGAGGCTTCCCTGATTTCCAAGACTTTGTGGAGGTCTCAAGCACCCCTGCCAACTTCCAGAAGTGAGAAGAAGTGAATCTGGAACCTATAAGTCTTTTCAAGTGAGCCTGACTTAGGGGATTTCAGGAGGGCTCGTCTCTCTGTTATATAGTCAGGGCCTGATCCCTGGAGAGGGAGAGCAGTGAGGGCGGGACAGGGAGTCACAGTCCATGCAGCGTCCACCCCATTTGCTTCATCTCACCCTCTTTGCCTCTCTTATCCAGTCTAAATGTCACATGATGTGTCCAGTATGTTCAGAGAAAGTCCTTTCTTATTACAAAGACAAACACATTTTTTTTCCTTCTGTGTCTAATGTGAGCACAGAGGCGCCATACACGGCCCACGTGACGGTAACACAAGGACAGCTGGGTCAAACTCGTTTGAGAGAGGTTGCTAAATTTATGTGCGTTTCTATTTCAATGCATGTGAATGAACTTTGAGGATGATAAGGTTTTTATCAATCTGTGTTCTGCAATACATATTTGAATACCAGGGACACTGACATCATGCACTTATATAATGTAGCTGGTGCAAATTTATGAGGGTAGGGTTTACATAAGCAAACATAATCAGGGACGCAGCGCATGTGGTATGTGTGACAGATGTGTGCAGATGTTCTCAGTCACTCCAAACAGACTAAGATTAAAATAACACCAAAATTAAAATTTCATTTTCTTAAAACTACAAAAAGAGAACGTTTTATTCATCATTATATGACAAAAGATCAGACTTAAAGACAAAATGTAAACGGTCTCGCTGTTTATCTTTTATAGGTTTAAGCTCAGAATAAAGAACAGCTATCTAAAAAAAAAAAAAAATCACCTGGTTTATCCATCTTTCTGGCTGTAAAAATGATAGAAGCTTTCAAAAGATTCATTTATTCAGTTCAGTTCAATTCAATTCAGTTTTATTTATATAGCGCCAAATCATAACAACATTCGCCTCAAGGCGCTTTATATTGTAAGGTAACAATAAAACATACAGAGAAAAAAACCCCCAACAATCATATGACCCCCTATGAGGAAGCAATTTGGCGACAGTGGGAAGGAAAAACTCCCTTTTAACAGGAAGAAACCTCCGGCAGAACCAGGCTCAGGGAGGGGCGGGGCCATCTGCTGCGACCGGTTGGGGTGAGAGAAGGAAGACAGGATTAAGGACTACTCAAGTGGATGTGCATGATTCTCACACAGTTCTTCTGTCTAAAACAAGATGTTTTAGTGCCTCTCCTCTCTCTAAACAAACGTTCCCCTGATTGGCTGAAGACAGAAGGTTTATCCACCAGGTGGGTGGGGCTTCTGTGCTATACACCTAAGCTAACTGTATTAGGAACGTACGCTCTCACTGACATAATAAAATCCAATTTAAAAAAATTTAAAAAGACTAAAACTGAGCATTTAGAGGAGTCTGAGCTTCTGGCTCACAGAGATAAAAAGTAAATAAATGCCTGATAAGTAAATGTGGGAAAGTTCAGCAGTGCCAAAGCTTATCACTTATCAGTAACATAAAAAAAATCAGAAGAAGGTTTAAATAGAGTTAAAATAAATTTTATCAGAAGTGTTTTAAATTTAATTGTTTAATGATAAATATCTGAAATTTAAATTGAAAGTATAAATGTGACGTTCTGTTCCTCTTAGTATTTTTTTTTTTTACATGTTTTACTTTCATTTTTGTCTCTTTGCTTACCATGTAGACAGCTTTACAGCATGTGCTTATGCTTTTATAACCATGTGTGACATGGCATGTGGAGGCGCTGCAGATGAACTCCATCGTACTGAACTACATGTTGAAAATGACACTACAGTTTGATCTAGTGTGTTACAATGTGGAGTCCAAACCAAGTGTCAGTATATGATCACTTGGATGTAAAAAAAATTTTTTTTAAATAAATAAATAAAAAAGTAAGTTTAATGTTTGTGATCACCACCTTCTAAAGTGCAGCCAGTGAAGCTAATCTCAGTCTGTAGTTTGTATTTTCACTGAATTAGTGTTAACACAGGTACAGAGTAACAGGAGCGTCTCTACCTGTGTGTCGAAAGCAACCCTTGGACTACTTATCTTATGGGATATACTGCACCAACACAGAAGTAAGAGACGTACGTCTGCCAAGGCTGAAAATCCCTGCATAAACAATGAGAAAATATCACACAATTGTAAAGAGTCCATCTAACATCTAATTCCTTGATCTACATCTGGATGTGGATTCAAATAATCACTGGTAAACTGCACTAAGCCTGACCTTTGGAAACATTTTCATGTAAATCAATCCTGAGTATGTTTCACAGCAGAAACAGGATTAAAATACTTGGAAATGAAACAAAAAGAGAACAAGTGGAGGTGGATTTCATAAAGAGGATCTGAGGTTGGATGTAGTGGAAAGTTACTGTGCAGATTCCTGTAATGTTGTTCACCATTAAGCCCACAAGACTGACAGGAATCAGCGTGACATAAACTCAGAACATCTGCATCGTGATTTATCGCCAAGCGTGACTTATCGTGTTGACAGCAGAGAAACTTCAGGGACAGATGACGCTGTTGGGGGCTTTGGAGGAGAACAGCAAAGACTGTTATTCCACGCCGGCTCTGTGTCGGCTGTGCTGCGCTGATGCAGGACCAGTGCCAAGAGTTGGTTATCTGCAACTGGTTTAAATATTTAAAGGAACAAGTTAAAGAGACATGCATATTTCTCCTCCTAAGCATGGCAGATAAAAACTGTATTTAAAGTCGTGTCCTTTGTCTTCTGATTATATTACAGCTATTAATAATACATCACTAAACTGTTTCCAGCTGCATTACACTTTGCAAATATGTATACATGCTACCAGGGGGATTTTTACATTTTTACTTGACAAGAATTTCCTCTACATGTATATACGGTAGTGCAAATATATTAATATTACGTTCCTGATCCTCATAGTGTAACTCTGTTGCGCACTACAAGCCAGTCATAACTCTATAAGGGAGTGAGGATGTGCCGAAGGTTAAAGGTATTTTTCAGTCTAGATAAATTATTTGAATTGAATTTGAATTGTAAAGACAAAAAAAAAAAGAAAAAAGAATACAGACACTCTGGCAACCCGTCGAGAGTTTACCCCACCTCTCTCTGCAAAACAGCCAGCTCTAGTCCCTCTACAACTCTGGATTGGAGATATAGTTAACAAAATGCATGGACTGAATGGGTTAAAACACTGTTGCTTGCTTACAGGCAGCCTACATGAGAAGACTTCTGTGCCTTTATATGAACTGGAAAAACCGAGAAAAGCTGTCAAGCTTTGCTTGTTTTCCTTTAAAGACATGTCTCCAGCTGTACTTTGACATTCCTGCTCTATGGTAGGATCAGTTCTTCTGAATCAATCATTAGAACTTACCTGCAATTTTGAATGATGCAACTCCACCTCAGTGTACCTTGCCTCCATCATGCAATCAGACACTTTCACACAACCTAACAAACACTGCAGCTGCTTCAGGGGCGTTTTGTTGCAACTTCACCTGTGGTTTCCTCAAGTTTGTAATTCTTTTTTTCTAAAGAGGTTGTTAGGTGAAATAAGCAGGTGTTGATGGTAGTGATACAGCAAATTTCTATTGACTATATTTTAAATGTACTGAATATTACAAATGAAATGTACTGCACCAGATCATAGACAGAGTACGTATATGTACTCTGGAGCATAAAGTAATTTAAGATGTTTGTTGTACAACAATCTCACCCTCAAAAACTCATTAAAAGCTCAAAATTACCATGACATCCATGTCTACGAATGTAAACTTCTAATCAAAGCTAAACATCGATTTCTTTTCTGACTGTGATAGTTTCCATTTTCATTGTGTCCTGTGCTCATGTGAAACAGCTTCCATCTTTACCGTCACTGAAAAACCCTGAAACACTCTCTTTAAGCTACACAAGAAGAGAAGCTATAATCGGCTTTTGTTGGCAGGTCAGGTCCTTCCTGATCAGCAGCATCAACAATACAATGAGTGCTGTAACTGATGTGTTTGTTTGGCTTTTTTGTCTCATGTTCATTGCCAAAAAAAGTTTCCACATTACAAAGGGAAAGCAAATCCAGTGAACTTTAATCATCATGCCAGGGTCTCTCTGTGGGAGGCTGCAGCGTGGCCTGTGCTGCAGACTGAAGCAGCATTGGCTGGCTTCAGCCTTCATGGTGTGACTGTGCCAGTTTTTCTTGCAGCACCGGCAGGCCACTGTCATCAGCTCTGGAAAAAAAAAAAAGCCTGACTAGGCAATGATACTTGAACTCTCAACTTAAATTCCACTGGACAGCCTGATCGAAGGGTTGCAGACATGACCTCATCTGACCAGCATTCAGTCCTCGTGTGGACTGTGCAGGCTGGTGTTCACAGAAATGGGTTACCCAGAAGGTAATATAAATGTGGGAAGGCCTTGAGTGGAAGTCAATAAATGCTTGATAAGTAAATATGGTGAAGGTTCAGCAGTGGCAGCGCTTATCACTTATCTCTCTCTTTAAAAGTAATCAGAAGTAGAATGAGCCAGAGTTATGATAATTTAGAAAAAAATCAGGCTCTTTCTTAAGCCTACCTGCCACATCGACAACTCATATATATATATACATATTTAAATATAGTTTTTATAATTCTTGCCCAACCTTAAACCTTAAACCTTTACTTAATTTAAAATTCAAAGCATTTAAAGGACAAAAAAGCCTGTTTTCTGAATTCACAAGTTTATATTACAAAAATATAAAGTAGTTTAAGAACTGCTCATCAGTAAAAATCACAGTTGCCACACAAAAGCTCCTCAAGGGGGAACTCTTAGTATCATTCCCAGCTCCATACTTTCATTCTAGACTCTAATAGAGGATCTTTGCATGATTCACAGTTTTAACTGGTTAGGTTCTCAGTGGCTTTGATGGAGCCTCTAAGTTTGCGCTTATCTCCCTTTAACACCACTCTCTGTTCAAGCCAACTGTCTTCTAATTGGCTCCCTGGATTTCTCCTCTGCATGACTTTATACTGATGCAATCAGCAACTAGAAAAACAGACTAACCTAAGTTGCTAACAGAACAATAATTGTCAATCGTTAATAATTGAACAATAACTTTTTCATCCATTGGGTTTGACTTAGTTCAGATTAATGTTTCTACCTGTCAAATAGACAAACATCTTTATCCATAAGTTTGACATTTTTAAAGGTGAACCCAAATGCTAAACACCGAATGCAGATTTAT